ATTTGAAGAGAGTTATCATAAAGGAAGTATTTTAAAAGATGCGGGCAAGATGGAAAGAAATAACAAGGAATTGTACAGCACCCCCAGACTAGTGGCAGAAAGAAAGTACCACTACAAGGGAGAGAGCAGTAATCAGAACCTGGTGACAGAGGTTTTTGGAAAGGGCTACCTGTGGCCTTTAGTTCAGAGAGGCAGTGGGCCCACAGGAAACCCAGAGAAGGAGCCAGTACAAATGAATACCCAGCCTCCCTCTCCTCCCTCCCTCCAATCTCCTGCTGGTCCCTTCCATTGGCCTAACCCAATCAGAAGCTAGAAAGCAAGGGAGACTTTTGATGCAGTCTGTACAAGTCAAACTTCAGGGGACAGAACAGGATAGAGAAGGGTGGTGGGTGCCCTTAGAAAGGCCAGAGGAAGATATCCAGTACCTTTGTAGTGAGGGTTCAATGAGTAAATAAATATAAAATGCTTAGACAATTACTCAATACATACTCACATTTTAAGTTCTAAAAACTACATTATATTCATGTCATGGACTGTAATTTACTTAATCATTATTCACTAAAATTAAGCATTTAGTACTTTTGAATTTTTAAATATAATAAATAATATGGGGATGAACATTTTTGTGCATAAAATATTGTACATATTTCTTAGAATTTCCTTGAGCTAGACACCTAAAAATAGAATTATGGAGTAAGAAAGTAGGAGCATTTTTAAAGCTCTTTGAAATTACCAAATTAGAGTACTTGTCCAAGAGAGAATATAAATTTATACCTCATCAACGATCTCTAAGAATAACTGTCTTCTCACTGCCTCCACTCCAACATTAAGCAAGTTAACTTTTTCACCTTTCTTAATTTGAAAGGGGAAAAATCAGCATGGTGTTGCTATTCTAATCAGTAATCTTTGATTACTGATAAAACACTTTTCTCATATATTTATTTATTATATATTTATTAGCCATTTCATTTTCTTCTGTTGTGAATGATCAATTTATGCCTTTCTGTGTTTTAATAATAAGATATTAACCCCTTGTTTAGTATTTTCATTGCAGAAAATTTAGTCCAATTGATGTTTTAGCATTGTTTATGGCACTTTAGATGTACAGAAATTTTAAGTTTATGCGCTTATACTTATCCTTTAGTGATTTCTTTCATTGTTTTTAAACTTAGATACCTGAAGGAT